TTTTTTTCCTTAGAGCAGTTTTAACTTTACAACAAAGCTGAACAGAAGGTGCAGAGATTTCCCACATATCCCTTTCCCACATGTGTGGCTTCACCAATCTCAATCTCACCACCAGAGCGGTACATTTGTTTCTGTTGATAAACCTGCAGTGACACATCAGTATCACCCAAAGTTAATAGTTTACACAGGGTTCACTCTTTGTATTGGACATTGTATGGGTTTGGACAAATGTCCAATGACACGTATCCACCATTATAGTATCATATAGAGTACTTCTACTGCCTTAAAAATCCTCTGTGCTCTGCTAGTTCTTTCCCCCCAACCCTGGCAACCACAGGTCTTTGTACTGTCTCCGTAAGTTTTGCCTTTTCCTTGTCTGGGAATTTTTGGGACTGGTTAATTGGTATCAAACTAGTTATTAGTTGGGAACATGTCCATGTCCTCATCCTTTGCAGTTCTTTAAACAACTTGTTTTTGGTTTGTTTGCTTGTTTGGTTTTGTGTGGAGCAGGCCTGGTTAACAACATTTCAAGTGTCCTAAGCACAAACCAGACACAACAATAGGATCTTTGCACGTTTCTCACCTGGGTCCCCACCCCCAGGGGACACGGAAGGGTGATGAAATGGAAGCCTGCCTCTGATCTTTATCCTGGTCAGAGGGCCAACAAGAATGCATCTGGTAATGGTATCAGGAAGGAATTGAATACCAGTATTTCCGAAGGTGACATCTTTCCATTGCCCTAGATCTAGGATGAATTTAATTCTTCAGCATGAAAAAAGGCACTGTATTCAGTTATTAGTCAACTGAGCCATCCATTCTGTATGTTTATCTGGAATCTTGTCACTCTTCATGAGTTGGTAGACTCTTCAGTTGGTTTTATATTTGTCATTTTGTGTTATTCATGGAAGCAAGGTACTTGTTTATCGTGATACCAAATTGAATAAAGTGATTGAGAGTTACATATTTACAGGGTAGTTTACTGAAGGAACTACCTGAAGCCATTCTTAATCCGAAGCAATAAAACGAATGTTATTAACAACAAAAGGAGAGACATAGGTTATTGAGCAAGTAAAGATCTTCTAAGGACTTTGAGCAGTCATAAATTCCACCAGCAAGCTTGTACTGAGATGCAGACAAACCCCTCGTCTTGTTGTTTTGTCTATTTGCCTTTCAAATGAGGCACACCTGGTTTTGCAATCCAGGCTGTAAGGAAGAGATTGTTTTTTTCAATGAGGAAAACAAAGGATTGAAAAATTGTAAAATTATCTTATATATTGAATAGGAACAAATCATCAGTTGTTTTGGGGATGCAATTATAAAATATATACATATAAGTATTGGTGAATACTTTTGTCTTACAGTTTTTTGATTTATTTCTGAATTATGTTGTTTTTCAAAAGTAGAAAGGATGATTATAGTACATTTTTCATTACATTAAGAAGATGCAAAAAACATTTTCCTTTTCTGTGTTTTTCTGTGATAACCATCATTTGTTAGTAATTGTTACAGTTGTGAAAGACTTGGTAAGAGTTAAAATGATTAAAGTTAGAAATGAAAGCTAGATTTTGGAACAGAATTATGTTGAGTGTTTAGAGCATACGTTAAAGATAGATTCATTGAATCCCTAGATTATTAAAGTATGTATTAATTCCGCAGAAATCCTTTGATTCTATTGGTGTCTTTGTCTTTTTTGTTTTGTTTTGTTTTGTTTTTTGAGATGGAGTCTTGCTCTGTTGCCCAGGCCAGAGTGCAGTGGTGCAGTCTGGGCTCACTGCAATCTCTGCCTCCTGGGTTCAAGCGATTCTCCTGCCTCAGCCTCCCAAGTAGCTGGGATTATAGTCAGGCGCCACCACACCAGGCTAATTTTTGTATTTTTAGTAGAGAGCGGGGTTTCACCAGGTTGGCCAGGTTGGTCTTCAACTCCTAACCTCAGGTGATCTGCCAAACTTGGCCTCCCAAAGTGCTGGAATTACAGGTGTGAGCCACTACCCTTAGCCGTCTTTGTCTTTTTAAGAGGTCATTTTGCTTTTGGGGGACATTAAAAATTGATTACTTTTATGTTTTATAAAAGTGTCAGGTTGTCCTATAAACTATAACAATTTTATATGCAATGCTGAAAAAGTTGGACTTTGATTTTTTTTTAACTTGGAATGTTAAAGTAAGAGTAAATAGTAAATTACGATCTCCCTTGATTTTATACAGAAAAAAAATGTAAATTTGCACTAATATCTTTTAAAATATTTTTATTTGAAAAGCCTGTTTTGGCCTTGTCCTATTGGATTTTCTGGCCTGGGCTGCCTTACTATAGTTGAGCATAGGAAATATAATGTAAATTTCTCTTTTCTTATTTTGGTTTACACAAGAAAAGTATTGGGCAGTGTGCAGTGGCTCACGCCTGTAATCCTATTTCTTTGGGAGGCTGAGGCAGCAGGATCACTTGAGTCTAGGAGTTCGAGACCAGCCTGGGCAATGTAGCCAGACCCTGTCTCTACCAAATATAAAAATTAGCTGAACGTGCACACCTGTGGGTCTCAGCCAGGAGGCTGAGTTGGGAGGATCACTAGAGCATAGGAGTTTGAGGCTGCAGTGAGCTATGATTGTTCCATTGTACTCTGACCATATCTCTTAAAAATAAAAAAGAAAGAAATGATTAAAAAGTGCACAGTCAGCAATCACTGGTTTCAAAAGTTTTTGTAAAACGGATAAATCACGTTGACAGATTACCAGTTTGTCTTATTTAAAATAGGTCATCTCTCTGATAACATGATTGTCTTGTTAAGATACCTTATTTAAGACAAATGGGTTGAGTGACAGGAGATGCTTTTGAAAAGTCAGAGATGGCCTGTGATGAAGCCTAAATATCACCGTGTAAGTCTTTACCTGCCTTCTCCAGCCTGGTCAACATCCCAGCCTGGTCAACATGGTGAAATCCCATCTCTACAAAAAATACAACAAAATTAGCTGGGCATGGTGGTGCATGCCTGTAATCCCAGCTACTGGGAAAGCTGAGACATGAGAATCCCTTGAACCCAGGAGGCAGAGGTTGCAGTGAGCTGAGATTGTGCCACTGCGCTCCAGCTTGGGCAACAGAGCAAGACCCTGTCTCCAAAAAGTAAGTCTTTACCTGCTTCCTGCAGGTACCCTTTCTTTTTTTGCAGACTTCCTGCCTGTAGCTGGTAGCCCGAATTCCCTTCCTTTTGCTGTTTTCCTTCTCATTACTTGGTCCTATGTACTTATCTTAGAGCAATTTTCTTCTTGTGGGATATTTGCTTATGCTTTTATTCTGTTCTGCCAATATAACCTCTAAACTCAAAAAGTTGGTACTCTTGAAGTTGGGCGACAATGTATTAAGATGTGGTGGTAAGGCCAGGCGTGGTGGCTCACGCCTGTAACCCCAGCACTTTGGGAGGCCAAGGCGGGTGGATCACGAGGTCAGGAGATTGAGACCATCCTGGCTAACAGTGAAACCTGGTCTCTACTAAAAATACAAAAAATTAGCCAGGCATGTTGGCATACGCCTATTATTCCAGCTACTTGGGAGGCTGAGGCAGGAGAATTGCTTATACCCGGGAGGCGGAGGTTGCAGTGAGCCAAGATCACGCCAACACCTTCTAGCCTGGGCGACAGAGCAAGACTCCATCTCCAAAAAAGAAAAAAAAAAAAAAAAAAAGGATGTGGTTAGAACACAGGCCTGCAGCAAGATTCTAGTGCTTTGATATTCCTTTTAAGCAGATAAGTGAATACTGTGTGTTTTTTAATTGGAAGAGTGTGTCTTAGTGAGTCAAACTTGCAGTGACTGCAGTTTTTCACTAAATTTCCTACTCTCCTAATTATTTAAGGTAGTTTTAAAAAAGAATAAGAAAGCAACCCAAATCAGTAGACAGGATTAGTTATGTGGCTTTTTTTTTTTTTTTTTTTTTTTTTTTTTTTT